TGTAACTTGCACGTGTATACATATATATGTATGTATGTTGACACACTACAATACACCCCAAGCGCCACTCTAATGCTTGAGGCATATAATAAAAGAGATGTTTCGGGGGTAGAAGGACAGTTCGGCTCGGCCCTAAGCCCTAAACCCCTAAACCCCTCAACCCCAAACCGTGTCTCGAGCACTGCTTGCCTTGACCAGGTCTTCACCTTGGCTGGGCAGCGGAGTAAAGAGGCGGCTAATATAGGGGCCTCAATAATTACCTATACTATTTTTTGTTTTTTTTTGGGGGGGGTCCTTGTTGTAACTATAAGTATAATGGGCTCCAAAACCCTGTTCTAATTCTTAAGGCCCCTATAGTATCCCATGGGCTTGCAGTTTCTTAACTCAGCTCGATGACTTCTACCCACCGGCTGTTGATGATACTTGATGTAACATAGTCACGTAACCGCCACGGAGCCACCCTGCCTGAACAGGGCATTCTTCCAGCCCTACGCGATTTCGGAATGGGCTGAGGTTTGTATGATCTGGTCGAGCGGGACGCTACAGTTGATGTGTGTTGGTTAGTGTGATTTGGAGAGCATCAATCCTTCTGATTATCGTCATCACCAACATCGCACAGGCAACTGCATAATCTTTCCAAAGTGGTGATGCCCTTAAAACTCAGCAGTCTTGTCTTCTTCCCTTCATTGCCGGGTCTCGCGGATGCCTTATACTGCTAAAGGATGCCAGCTTCTGAAATATTCGGAAATATAGTTGTATGACATTGGAACCAGTACTGCAGGAGGCGGCACGTGAAGAACCGTAACAGAATCGGAGATTTTGACAGTGTTATCAGCAAGACTTTCATGCTTCTGCCGGACGTGTTCATTCCAGACTAGCCGCATCGCTGGGCTATCTGCGGCTATCTTATCCGATGCTCGCTGCCTCTGACTCCAGCCTTCTAAAATTCCCAGGTTGCCACACACCAACTCCAGCAGAATGTACTTTTGACGCAGGGCTTGCCCTGATTGAACCTCTTATGCAAAACCCTCGGCCTGCGCATTTTACACTACACCAGGGAAGACCGTAGCTCGGTTTACCCGAGCCTTGGTGTCAGTTGAAGGTAATAAGGTCCGTGAGGGTTCGGGGGCGTGGGTTTACCTCAGGGGAAAAGTATAGTGCAGGAGTCTCTTCTTGATTCTTGTTGGTCGCTAGTACTTGGTTAAACACAGAAACTCGCAACTCAAGACCACGGAAAACGCTACATGTTCGAGTTCTTCATGACCCTGCACGGGCTCCTTGGGGGTTTGTAGGGCGCAAGCTCCCGCGACTAGCCACATAGTTTGGCGTCCGATCACATGTTGCCAGGCGTCCGGCTGAGGCCGTGCTGGTCGCCAAGAGGGCCAGTTGCATGATACTATGGGGGCCTGAATGATTACCTCTACTATTGTGGGTGGTTCCTTATTGTAACTATAGTATATTGGGCCCCAAAACCTATTCTATTTGTTAAGGCCGCTACCTATATTGCCTCTGGTCGCAATTACCGTGGCCTGGGATTTGCCACGTTTTGCAAACGGCCCAACTACGTTTTACGATGATGTTAGGATTCGTCGTACAGCTCATGCTTCCCGGATATGACATATGAAGCCTAGGATTGTCCTGACTGTTTCAATTCTTACAAGCAACGTAGCAATGGCGGCCTGTGTGCTGGATATCTTTCCCGAGCGGTTGGTTGCAATGCAATCAGAGCGGGCTTTCCGGCTCTGACCATCCCAGCGTTGGCCAAAGTCAGCGCAGAGAAACCGTGTGCCATTACGACCGCATTTGTGATCATAGGGACCCTTACTAGTAGGGGGCCTTATTAAGTCCTTATTATGGGCATCGAGGCCCCCGCCCCCCCTCCTACCCCCCAAGGGTCCCTATGATGTGAGCGAGTCAGCTCAAGCACACTTACACCCCTGAGCCCGAAAGCCCTGTACCCTTCAGGTCCTGTGAGCCTGTCGGAAGATTGATTTAGTGCTCTCTCAGCCGTGCGGACACGGCATGCGTTATAGTTCTGTAGGACAACTGAAATGTGCTAATGTGTAAACTTTTAAGTAGATACTTGTAGGGTATTCGTTCGGGTCTAGACTGACACCGTTTGATTGCAAGTCTTGCCAGTCCAGACGATTGAGATTTAATGTCATGTTTCGCAGAGGTGCGCAGCACTTGGTTGCGCGCCTCTTGTGGTGGAGCAGAAATCCGCGGAAGCGACAGTACAAAGCAGTTCTCAGATGTTGTTAGACACTTCATAGCAGCATCTTGATATAGGAACCTGGAATGAGTGAGATCGAATGATACAATGCTCTAGAATCGAAGTGGGCCGACTAGCGCAGACTCGAGACGAGACACCCATGGAATGGGCTTGTTTTGATCCAGAAAAGACTTCATCAACTCTTCTAAGTTTGCCGTATGATGGTGCTGCTTGCCCTGGCAAGTGTTCGCAGCTACGGAGTCAAATCTACCGTGAGCCGTCACGATCTCCAAGTTACAATGCAGTGTCCATGTGTGGCATGTGTGAGAACCAGGCAATTCAGAAAGACTGTTCCTTTCGTGAAGCTTGAAGCTTTCTTCCATCGCCCGCCATGGTGCAAGATTCGGACGCATCAAGCCAGGCACAGCTTGATCTTCAGGATCACTGCTCGCTGTCATTGCAACGTAGGCAGCGGTAGAGTAGAGGGCACGGGGCAGACCACGTTCCAGCGTCTGGCGTTGCTAATGCGCAAAACAGCTTGCGCAAGTAAACCCAGCCAAGAACCGTATCTGAAGTCGTAGGGGGACTCTCAAACGGTCGGTGTATCAGGGGGTTTTCTCGGTGGCATGTCGTGTGATACTTTTGGTCCTTGTGGCAACAATAATGACAAATAGGGCCTTCAAAGACTTTGGGGCTACTACTTTGGTTTGTCCTATGTTTGTCAGTATGGGGAAGAGGGGGTCAGAAGCTCTGCGGCATTGACTTGAGCCAAGCTTTCGAGACCACCTCTGCCTCTATCAGCTCCTAGCGTGTCAAGCTCTGAAACATATGTCTTCTGTCTCAGACACCACATCTTACGCGTCACAGAAGGGCGGCAAGAAGGACTTTAGGAGGATCCCACGCCGGCTAGAGGGATGCTACGAGGATGCCAGGAGGACGTGCAGCAATTTCTACATCTTCCCGGGCCTCCCAACTAATATAGGGGTAGAATAGGCTTTTGGGGGCCCATCATGCTATAATTATAACAAGGAGCCCCCAAAATAGTATAGGAGCCCCCAAAATAGTATAGGTACCAGTAACTATTATAAAGGCCCCTTTAGTAAGCTCTTTGACCGTTTTCAGGATCCTACGTTCGGGTCCGAAAAGGTTGAAAACAAAGGACAAATCAACCTACCCCACAGTAAATCTGAATTTTAAGGCGCAAAGGGGCAAAATGCGGGAACCTCCAGAGTAATGGGCATCGTGGGGGTCCGCGGAGTAGTTTGTTGGCATTTGCGGTAAATTTGAGTCGTGGTCCAGGTTTGGTCTTGCCACAACATTTTGGCGTTGTCCTTTGTGCTCGACTTCATACAACGTGTTCTTCTTGTTGTGCTTTTTACGCATAAACTTCCTGCAATTTCTCGGAACAAAATAGTGGCAACAAGTTCAAGTCGGGCCATATCCGAGGCCCAATTTTGCGTGCCGCTCTAGGCGCTGGAAACTCTGTTGCAACCCACCTGTCCAATGCGGTTCATTGCAATGCTGGCAATCCAAACTTTGCGCTGGACGAGCCAGCGGCCGAAACAATTTCTAGGTAGGTAGGGCTTTGGGACATTTTATACTTACTCTTATTGGGCTAAAGAGGATTTTTTTACGAATAAATTTTTTACAGGCTTTACAAGCCCCACCTAGTTTGGTTACATCGCAAAATGGCGGCTCATGAGCTCTCAAAAGTGTTTTTGTTCAATGGGAGAGTGCTGTCTGGTAGACCCAACAGTCGGTCCGGTTAACACCTGGACCCCAAACGTACGTAAAATCCTAGCCTTTTATAGGCTTTGGGCCATTATTTTGCCTACTTTGGGGGGTCTAAGCAGTGGTAAATCGGAGAGCTTTCATGTTCGGCTAATGCCAAGGAGATCGCTTCGGTGGATCGATCCCATTGGTAAATCGGACCATTGGTACATCTGGTGGGGGTTGCCGAGCCTCAGCCGTAGAGACGTTTCGAGGCTGCTTGCAAAAGGTAGGGAAAGCACGGGTTTTTCCTTTTTCCTTATGCCTTTTTCCCATGTTGACTGGTTTCCGTGCTAGGGCGCACTTCATTTGCCTTTGATTTTTGAACTATTTTAACTAAAACACAGCACACGAACGGAAAGTGAAAGGAAGCAAACAACAAGACCCGGAAACCAAGAAGCGTACTGGTCAGGATATGAGGTTGAAGAGGGAAGGCAAAAGACGCAATTGTAAAGACCTAAAACAAGCGAGCGTGGTGAATGCTTGTCTACTGCACTTCAGAAACAGGTTATTTCCTTCTCTCTTGATTTATTTTTATGTTTCTCTCTTGCTTGTGTTCTTTCTCGTTTTCACTTTGTACCATTGAAACGAACACAAGAAATACGTTTCATATGTTTACGTGCGCCTTCATGTTCAGAGCATTTTGGACAAGCGCGAGTTGATGGCACTTTGGTTCCTAATGGTTCCTATCTATTCTGGCATGGTTAACGGACATGAGTTGTAAAGCCCATGTTCATCCATATTGGTCAAATAAGGATACGTCGTTTCAGATTCAACATGAACCAAGGAGATGCCGTGTTGACCATATTCCTCCCTCAATTCCTGTTCATGCTTTGTTCTTGCTGCGCTTGGCAGCTGGCTTGCAGTGATTGCGTGATTCGGAAGCGACTAGTGGGTTGCGTTAGTCACGATTTGCTGTTGCAGCTTTCGGTTAGGTAAGGGCTTGCGTTAGTAATAGTATCTGTTTCGAAGTCGTCTTTGTCGCGTAGCAAACGTTGAAAGCGGTGTCATTGCTGCGATGGGCTGCGGCGCAGCCACAGCTTCAAAGTCCGCAGCGGTAGCTCCCGACAAGAAGGTTGAAAAGCTGCAGCGAGGCGGGCAAGCCTGAAATCATGAGACCTTGCATGAGGGAGTGTCCCAGACCTTTATAGAGTCATAGAGGTTGCAGTCGGGCGAAGTGTGTTCAAAGGCTGGAATTGCGTTTGAGCAGGCGGCATCAAGCTACTGGAGTTCAAGGTCAAAGGCAGCAAGCCAGGAAGAGAATTTTCTGCAGAGATCTCTTTGCTTGGCGGCGGTGTGTCTGCGGCCGCTCAATTTGCGAAAAAAGAGCATTTGCCCATTGACTGGCAGCACTACTCAGTGTACGCTGCAAAGGTGGTCTTCGAGTATCACAATGACCAGGGACAAGGATCCGACATCCACATTGACCCTGCCATGGGAGTGCGCCTCCTAGGCGAAGATGTCCTACCAAATGCAGAACTTCTCGGATGTGGTTGGGCTCCCGACAACCCGAGATGGCAGAGCCTTCGGGAGGGTGGAAACATGGCCTGGAAAGGACGGTATGAGATGAGCACCCCAGTGGCGATGGAGACCTGCAGCCAGCGGCAGCTGCTGGAATTCAAGGTCAAAGGTTCTTCGCCTGGCAGACAGTTCTCCGCATACTTGGTGTTGCAGGATGGAGTGGGCCGGAGAATAGGCGAGTTCACATTGTTGAAAAAGGTTGCCCTGCCACTGGAGATGCAGACGTTTTCGTTTGAGGTGGAGCAGGTCGCCTTTATGTACCACAATGATCAGGGAGAAGGATTCGACATCCGCATTGACCCTGCAATGGGAGTGCGCCTCCTCGGCGAAGATGTCCTGCCAAGTGCAGCCCTTCTCGGATGTGGTTGGGCTCCCGACAACCCCAGATGGCAGCGCCTTCGGGAGGGCGGAAACATGGCCTGGAAGGGAACGTATGAGATGAGACCTGCTTCAAGCGAAATGCAAGGAGGCGGGCATGTTTAAAGTCATGGCGCACTGAAACAGCAGCCGCAACGTCACAGGTTCAGCGCCGGTGCCTGACGACGTGGCACGGAACTTCCTGAAGGCCCGGGGGTGGTGCTCAGAGGGCTTGGGTCAACAAGGGTCCATCAAGTCATATGTGAACTTCGAAGGCTGCGTTCTTTGAGGTGATGCTTGTGTTGCCGAGCATTGCATGCCTTTGTTCCTTTTTGTCTCGCATTGTCTTGCGAGCACCACAAGTCGAAGTGCCTGCATCTTGTCATTAAAGGGAGTGGTGAGGGTTTAATGGTAGGGTTGTGGAGACTCAACAAGGGTGGTGGTAGAGTTCAGGTTTAGGGCTTGGTTCAATGCCAGCTTTATATAGGGGATAAAGTCGGATAGAGTTCACCATCCTGGCTCGTTGGTTTGTGCAGTCATAGGGTTTAGGGTATTTAGGGTTGGCCAGGCGATTGCTGCTGCGGCGAGGGCTCGTACAGTAGGAATGTGAATAACTTCTCCCGAAAAACCGAGGACCCTACGTCCTAGAAGGTCCTATACCCTTGGGGTGGCGCTGGAGAGAGAGAGAGAGAGAGAGAGAGAGAGAGAGAGAGAGAGATGATCCTGCTTGAGTGTGTTCTCGCCACACAGCCTTTGTCTGGTGTTGCAAGGCGCTGGATGAGGAGTACGTCCAGGGCGCCGGCGCGAAGGTCTGGGAGCTCAGTTGTAGGAGCCCTGAAGCTCTGTGCCATCTACCATGTAGGGTTTAGAACGTTGACGATTTAGGGTCTTAAGTTTTCAGACTTTCAGGAGGGGCTTAGGGTTTTAGGGTTGTTTTGGACAGTCTTGAAGGGTCCACCGAGCTTATGCCTGCAGCTAGCACCAATGAAGCGGTGGAAGATGTTGGCAGCACACTTCTCAGGTGGGTGAGTTCTTCGAACGCGAAGGGCACGAGGCCGGAGAGACGTGGTTCAAGGTTCAAGGCGGATGAAGGGTATAGGAGGAGTTGGATTGTTGGTGCTTTGGGTAGAAGGTCTGGCGAACTAGTATGGTTCAGTTCCTTCTTGACCAACTGATGGTGTTTAATTCTCGCGTGCCGTTGTATCCGGACGAAGTGGATCGAGAACCTTCCTGAAGATGTGCAGCCTTGGATCCTCAGCCTGGAAGGCCCCGAAGCCCTCAAAGCCAAACACCGACAGCCCACAATCCCCCAACCCGCGAATCGCCCATCACCTCCCACCCCCAAAACCACACCCCAAAACCGCTAAAATACCACTCCCCCGCCCACAAAGCCCTCACCCCAAACCGCTCGGCCACAGGAGACCCTGCTTCCCTTCGAGGAGTCGGTGCGGGCCGCCGAGGGCAAGCGGGCCGCCATTGAGGCGATCGCCCAGAGCTGGGGCTTCGAGTGCCCCTGACCAGGACGTGTGGGGGTGGGAGAGGACATGCCTCTTCCTAGACCCCGAAAAGTAGGTAAAATAATGGCCCAAAACCTATAACAGGCTCTTTTTCTTAGACCCCGAAATGTAGGTAAGACAATGGCCCGAAAAGTATAAATTAAAGGCTATGATTCTATATACTTTGGGGGTCCAGGTTGTAGCCTTCTTTTCTAAGCCATCGGGTGCGACGAGCAGGCAGCCGGCCCGAAGCACCGTGGGAGTTGGGCACATGGGTGGTTGTCAAAACTAGGGTCCCTTTGTGGGGTCCTTGTTGTAGTGCCGCAAAAAGGAGCCATAATTTTGACAACCACCCACATGGACCTGTGCCAAGCTACTGCTGTCTCTGCGCTAGAGTCGCTACAAGTAGAGTAGAGATGATGGGCCTAGTGACCTGAGCCCTTGCCTGTGGAAGGATCCAGCAGCGGACCTGTTGCAGCGAGAGGGCGTTTTCAGCACGAGTTCACGCGAGCTTGGACAGAAAGCTGTTTGTATCGCACGTCTCACCGTCTCACCGCTCATGCCAACGCAAGGGTGTCGAGCAAAGCAGAATTCAACACTTTGTGCTTTGCAACCAGATCGTCAGGCTTCGTAGACCAAGGCTGCTATGGGATCGTGCCTGTCTCTCCGATCGTACTCGTCATCTAAAGCTAATCCGAAGCTGTCTGGGCTGCAATTTCACGAAATGTCGGTCTTTGTCTCTCTGTTGTGTCTCCGTCTCTATCTGTCTGAGCGGGTTGAGGTGAGGGTGTGACGTCATCGTGTGAGCGTGGAACCTTTTTTCTGTCCAGGTGACCACGGAAGACAATGCGGCCTCCGAGCAAGCAGCACAGCACGCATTGTGCAGAGACCTTTGAACTGAGCCATCATGAGGTGAGCAGGCGCTGAGGGCATGTGTACGACTGAGTGCTTTGTAGTTGCTTTAGTGTGACCTTCAAGGCTCTAGGGCTGCATCGATCTGTGCAGGCACTTAGGTAATAGGGCACTGCGTTGTACCATGTTATTATTCTTCGAGGATGGTGTTTAGTGACGCCTTGCTGCTTGTGTCTTTGTTGCATTCTGTTGTGTCTATGTGTGCGGTTGTGACTACGTGTGTCCGTGGTCCCGAACTCTTGGGCTGTGTCCCAAGCCTAACACCCTACACCAAAAGCCTTCAGCCAAGATGCGGTCCACGCTGATAGCGGCTTTCAGCAACCTCTCCACTGCGTACAATTTGGTGAACATCAATGTGTCGCATGCCTCTCGGCGAAGCCCGGAACGGGCTTCCGAAGTTCGACTCTAGTAACTTTAGTGTCGGCTGAGCTGTCTCCAGGCTGCAGGGTCAGATCTTACAGTACTTGGGCCATGAAACAGCAATTCCGCCGAGTATGGCGGCTTGCAGACTACCCTAGTATACCCCATTGGTTATGCATGCTGCTGGCTGTCGGTCCGACTTGTTCGACACGGGATGCCGAGAGCAGAGTTTTCCCTGGGCATTTGGGCGGAGCGTTGTTCTCCACTAGGGGCTCCACCTAAGATACCTATATTCATTGACTACTTGCTACCTTCACTAGGACCCATCATGAGAAGCCGAGGTGCTGTGTTAACGTGGGGAAGGCTGAGAGGCATCCGGCAAGCGCCATTCAGCGATTAAGTAGGGATACTTGAGGGTTATAGTCGTCATACCTTAAGGGATCTCAGGCGTGCAACAGGCTAGTACGACTTGCAATTTTCCGAGGTGATCCTGGAGGGCCAGTACTGTGGCGGCGAGACGTGACTGCCTTGTTCGTTGGAAGGGGCCTAAAACCTAAACGTGAAAGGGGTGCTCGGTCTGGAATCTTAAGGTTTCTACGTTGGGATGTCCGGAGTGTTAGGTGCAGGATGTCATTGTCGGGTGGTCCCCAAACAAACGGAATATTTGAAGCTTTGGTGACCAAGCTGTCTTAGTAGATGTCCAGAAGCATCGAAAACTGCAGTAATTGTGTCAAAAGGTCCGAGTGCAGGTCTCCAGCCTCCAGGTGAGTGGTGAGCATCGAACACTATGGCATTTAACTTGCGGACTTGGTCTGTAGTTGAAACTTGCGAAACGCGCTATTCATGCTGCTTTGGCGGAAATATTCTTTTTGCTGTTGGAGGGAACCCAGTCTACATATGACGGGACAGCGACACAGCGTCCCTAAGCTTGCCTGTCCCATGTTTAAGATTTTGTCGGTGACCGGAAATCTGCGACCCTTCCAGACGAGAACACTTCCGTCCAGAACCGGTTAACCGAAAGAAACTCGTTTTCCAAGATCAACGTCCTCTCTCGGCAAATTACAAGCCAACGCAAGAATGAATGGTTAAGAGATGTTGAACTCTGTTTTTGTGAAAGAATGCTATATTAAAAATATATATATATATATATATATGTGTGTGTGTGTGTGTGTGTATGCAATTGAACCAAAAAAAGCCGAGGACAATTGCAAGGCGTCCGTCGCCGCCACCAGCTCGGCATGCCTGGCCGGTGCCATCTTCGGCCAGCTCACTTTTGGACCCGAGCTTTGCAAGAGCTTCGGGTTTTACAAGGCATTTCTCCCGTGTCAGTGCAGGTTCAGTGCATCTCCTTAGCGGAGGGCGAGAGGCCTAGAGTCACGTCTGCAAGCTTCCCAGATATGAGAGGAACGAGATACCAGTAACTATCTTTCCAAAGACTTGCAGGAGTGGTAGCAACCATGTTGCAGCTGCTTTTGTTGTCATCTTTCCTAGTGATTCCTACCTATGTTTTCCTAGCATTTTGTGGCCACCACCAGCCACGGCACCCTCACGCAAGTGACCGTTGCGCCGACGAAAGCCAAGTTGTAGTTGTATTTGCCGCAGTAGGAAGTAGATCCGGTAATGCTGGTGGTAGCAACCCTCGTCGACGGCGACGGCCTGGTAACAGCATAGTAGTGCTGTCGGCGTCGTGGTCATAGTCGGAGGCGCAGTCGCAGGCACAGTCGTAGTGGTAGCAGCCGTACCTTCGGCAAGGATCTAAGCGTTGTTTGAGGCCTAAAGGAATGCGTCAAACTGAACATGAACATCACTGTCACCATGTCCCAATCCAAGACCTTGGCAACTCGTGAAAATGTTGACCTGGTTTCTGAAAAGTCTGTCGTTCCTGCTGGGAATAGTCGGCCTGTATCCGGTTCAGGTAGCAGATTGCCAGGCAAAGACGTGAAGCCATGAGCATTCTTTGTGTTTGTACCGTGACACATAGTAGGTTGTCGTGATCCTGGCCTGCGCTGTCTTCTTGCAAATCTACTGGCTGCAGCGGTGCGTGCTGCTGCTGCTGCTGCTGCTGCTGCTGCTGCTGCTGCTGCTGCTGCTGCTGCTGCTGCTGCTGCCGTTGCTTTTGCATGCCCACATGCGTGGCCTTGCTATGATTCTTGGTGCTGCTTCTGCAACAGCAACAGCAGCGGCACGGAGACCACCACCAGCAACACAACCAGAAGCGACAGCAACAACAACAACAACACCAGCAGCAGCAGCAGCAGCAGCGGCAACAGCAACAACAACAAAAAACAACAACCGCCAACACCAACAGTAACAACAACACCAACAGCAACAACAGCAGCAACAACAGCAACAGCATATAAAGCAACGAGAGAAAACACTCCAACGAAGCAGTTGCAGCAGCAACACCAATAGCAATAACCACAACACCAACACCTGCAGCAACAGCCGCAACCGCAGCTGCAACCATGCGGACAGCGACAGGGCCGTTGACAGCGACAGCGACAGGAGCAGCAGCCGCAGCAACGGCAATAGCAACAGCAGCGGTACCAGTACCAACAGCAGCGGGCAGCAGCAAGAACAACAACAACTAGAATCACACGGACAGCGACAGCGATTGTTGCAGCCACAGCGGCATCAGCAGCAGCAGCAGCACACAACAGCCGCAGCACTAGCAGCAACAACGACGACAAGCAGCTGCAGCAGCAGCAGTTCCTATATCTATAGCATTAGACGTCGCACTGAGTACCTAGGGATATCATCATCATCATGGTTCAAAAAACACATGATATAACGATGGTTGCTAGTTGTGACACTCTATCCGGGACATAACATGCCTCGACAGCTGCAGGATATATCGGGGACTGCCTTGGACGCGGCCCTGCGCTACCCTTCTGCAAGGTAACATAGTGGTCGGAAGAACGTGACGACATACCCCAAAAACCCTGCTGTGTTTGTAAAGGCCCTTTTTTTTGCGCTGCGAGATTCGGATCTTTTCTGAGCGTGTACTGACTCCTCCTCAGTCTAACTCGGCAAGCTGAATCCGGTCTTAACCGCATGTTTGAGAGGCTTCCCAGCAGATTGGCCTGAGCAGCCGAAAAGAGTAAAGGTCTCCTGAATGTATGTTTCTATCTTCTGTGTACATAGCTATGAAGAATCCATAGCTACATCACATATATTTTTTCAGGACCATTGCAAGGAAGCGAGAACCCAAAGTCACGATCAAGGGAGTAGAATGCCAAAGCCAGAAGCCCGGGCCTCAAGTCCCCGGAGACTCCGATATCCCTTTTTATGGAGTATACCTTAGATATTATAGAAGGATCCCTAATATGATCTTCGGTTTATCTCTTAATTAGGGAATATACCTTAGATTAAAGTAGGATTCCTAATATGATCTAATGTATATTCCTTGATTAAGGGATATTGGAGTCCCCTAAACCCTAAGCCCAGCTCAGTGGACCAAGTGCCTGAAGCCATGCCTGCCTTGCGCGAGTGTGTGAGTCGAAACCCTAAACCCTACAGATCCCCTAAAGGAGCCCTAGGTAGGTCCTTTTAAAAGGAACCCTAGGTAGGTCCTTTTAAAAGGAGCCCTAGGAGTCTCTGGGTCCTAAGTCGACTCGAGGCTCCACTTGACGATGGTGCTGTCCATTGCCGGGGCTTTGGTGTCAGCCTTTGCAGCGCCTCGCTCTCGCCAGAGCTTAAAGCAGGGTTTCCGAAACTTAGGGGTACCTTAGGGTTCCTTTAAAAGGGAT